GACATAAAAGTCAGGCCTAATGTGGCTTCATTTCTCTCTTTCCTCCCAATTGCTCGATGGTAGAAGAGTAATACATTTCATTGCCCGGGCAACAAAATACTGACATGCTGTTCCAACTTACAGTGTGTTTGGCATCAGGCTGGATTCCTGCTCAGATTCTGGCTCTCTCTTTCCACTCTCTGCGTTTGTTCTCGATTCCTTTCACGTGATCTCTCCTTTTTCACTAAATAAGACCCCTGTCCTAATCAACTACTATTCACACAGAAATGATAAAGATCTAAGACACTTTGAACTGTCATTTCACAGAGTATTTTCCTAATGCTGTACCGAAAGGTACGTATAACAGTAAAAACAGCTATAAATGTATAAGTTACATTGTGAAAACTAATTAAATATTTCCATACAGTTCTGACACAGCCACCAAAATTAAATTAAATCGATGTCCACTTACTCAGTTTGTGCTGGCTGTACATTTAGATGCATGAATGCAGACACATGTTTTCAGTAAAAATGAATGCGTGCACACACTACACACATCATCACATGAAAATCTGTGCTCTGTAAATACCAAACAGGTCACCCTCTAACTTTTCTGCTTCAACTGTCTGCAGTTTTTCATCTCCCCATCTGTCCATCTCCTCTCTTGCCTCCCTCTCTCTCCTCCTTCTTCCCCTTTTGTGTCTTATTGTCTCCCTGCTGTATTCATCTCTGCACCATTAATCTTCCAGCCAATGAATTGGAGCTCCTGACTCTATCGCTCTTATTATCGGCTGCAGCCGTTCCTTATTTATGTTCCATTTTTCTCCTTCTCCTCCTCACTCAGCCTTGCTACTGTTGTTCCATTGACCAGCATGTAATTTCTTACATGAATAATGCAAGCAGTGAGACAAAAATAGTTGCATTCCTTGGTTCTCTTGGTTGGGATTTGTTCTGCAATCATTTAACTGAATGCATTTGGTTGAGCTGATTTCTATTCAGCAGTGCCAGCTACTTTGTTAAATGAAATAGGGATTTTGGTTGTAAGGGTATTGGGACTCCAAAAGCTGTATTCTTACTGAAATAGACTAGAACTAGATTGTGAGATCAGGGTGCAGATTTATTCAACCTCTCAGCACACTCGAGTACTGATCCAGGATCACCGAGGTGGTTCCCAGGACAATTCTATTCATTAGCCAACACTCAGAGCGGCCACGACAGTTTGCAGGCAAAATTAAATTTCAGTTTCTAGCAGCGCTGATGTGCTAGTGATAGACACAATTTTTATAAAAATGGCCAGGGTTGGTCAGGCAGCTTTCACAGTTTAAGATTAACCCTTTGATGAACATGAACATGCTTTCGGGGCATTGTTTCCTCAATATACTGTCTATAGGTAGAAAGATATAATTATGTCCCTGACTCTTTTTATTTACAGCTAAATAGCATTGCAGTTACAACAATAAATGCAATGTTCTCTGCCGATATATTGTCATGAGAAGCAATGACCACCCACGAGAAATTCACCTTTGTGTGTGGATCAAAGGTGAGTGACAGACTTACCCTTCACATCTCATTTGCTATACTTGTACCTGTATTATAGAATATTACAGAATATATTGTAATGCACAGAACAAATGAGGAAAAATGTATAAACTCAGGCGCTTGCTCATAAGCTTTTTTTATACCAGCTGCTGCTGAAAAACCCTGTGTTGCCATAGTGAGCGTGTTGGCGGTTAGTGAAGCGCAATGTATGGGCCCTTTCAAATAATGACCTTGTTGTGCTCCTTGAAAAATGTCCAAGGACTTGCATAAACATGTTTTTGGATCCCTAAAAGACTCTTGTGGTGATAATTCAGTAATTTTCTCTAATACATATCTCTGTTAAGCTGGCATAATTGCCCTTTAAGGCATAAAGAAGCGGAAAAAGTGAGCCACATAATAATGTTTTTGTCTGACTCATCTCCCTCAGCCGTCAAGTGGAGCATTTCGAAAATCAAAGGTTTCTTATTGTTCCCTGTGCTGCTTTCTTTGTTTATCACAGACCCAGTTTTCCTTTATTTTTCTTCATGATGATGTAAAGTAGTGAAAAGCAACAAACTGACAAGAATAAGATTAAAATCAAGCCAACCCATGGCGCTTCATTTCCTTTTTTTAAGTTAGATTATCATTTGGATGTTGAAGTTAGCCTTGGGTAAGGATAAGAAAATGTGCTGTGCTTTTTTTACTTTGTTACTACTGCAGCGAGGAAAGTCTAGCTGTAGGCCTGAGAACCTGCCTTTGTCCCTGTTAATTTAAATTAAGCTAGCACAGTTTTTTTTTTCTTTTCAATAAAATAAATTGAAGTTATTTTTCCCCTCTTACTGTTTAACTGTGCTCGAAAGAAACAGTAAATTTATGGATCCCGGTGTGTCCAGAAAGTTGCGAACTGAAAATCCATCTCTTCAGCTGTAGTCACATCACATACAGATCACCGGTGCTGGTGAGTGTGTAATGCTGCACAGAGCTATCTGGTACTGCTCAGAAACGAAGCAGACAGTGGTCTGTTTGGTCTGTTCTGTAAAGACAGATGGGATTCTGGCAGTCTACATTCACTTCAGACATTGGCTGTGCCGGAGAGATTTCTGAGGACTAGACTTCCTAAACATACCGTGCACTGTTATCAAACTTCTCTCAGTTGTTCCTGTTCCTCTTTATTGTGCCACTGATAATATTTGACCTCTTTTGTGTTCATCACCTTTCATTTGTCCCGTGTTATCTTGCTTATTGATTCTCATTTTCTCTTTACTTCTCTTACTTTTCTGTTATTCCCCCAAAATATTTTTTGTCATTATTATAAATGAAGAATAATTTGTGATTAGTCACTTGTCATATCCCAGTGTCTGTGCATCTATTTCCATATTTTAATTAGATCAATCAGTTACCAGGAGCCACTGCTGATTCACTGAAACTACAACATGCAAAATCGGAAGAATTATTACTATTATGTTAGGGCTAATTAACATACTGTATACCTGTGGGGCAGTTAATATGAATAAAGAAGTTAATTTATTGCAATTAGTCCACTGTGGTTATCAAGTCTCACGTGGTTGGAAATTAGGATTTGTGGACTTGTGGAATCTGTCTTAGTTGGCTGGTAATAGATGGTGGAGGGGGAAAAACGATTTGTGAGATGAGCCCCACTTCCCTGCCCCTCTTTCCTGTTCTCTGCGATACCGATTTTTGCAGATGCTGGTGCTTGTTTGTGTTTAGCAAAGCAGATTAATTAAGCTCATTGGTATTCCAGGACACTGTTCCCAGCTGTTTTCCAAGCCTAGGATAAGCAAGGTCATCCATTTGAATTTCGCTCTCTGAACATGTGGAGCCTGGAAGGAAACAGCTGGGAGGCAAGCACCCACAAAAGCGAGGGTTTTGACAGTCGAGATGGATGGATTTCAGTGATAAAATCTCTCTGATCGGTTCTATCACTCAACTCCTTATGTCCCTGATTCATTCCTCCCACAGCAGATCTGTGTGCGCTGTGTAATAGATCATTTGTTATTCCATTTGAGTAAAAGTCAAAAAGGTAAATAGCGTTGTAAACATATGATAAATAGGCAGCCTCATCAGTGTGATTGATATTTCCTGTTTTGCCTTGATGCAACTTCTAATATATAATGTCATCTGACAGGCCCCAGTTAGTATCAACATTAATTATCAGTAAAAAATGTTAACATGGTTCTGGGCCCTGTGCCAGCGAACAATGAGATTTGTAAGTCTGAAATAATGAGTCTTTGTGAGTATTTGTGCATTGTAAGTAATAGCAACAACTTGTCAAAGTGGAAAGTCAATACACACTATAGTGGGGAAAAAAAGGAGATACAGCTCATGAAGAATGTAGCGCAGCCTCGGGTCAATGAGTTAACTGTACCTTTTAGTATTGCATCGATAAGCAGACTTTGAGTTAGATCACGCTGAGGCAGCAGTTTACTGAGTTGTGTCCCTGTGAATTACTGTCCACAGTGAAGAAGTAAAGTCTGTTCTTTCAAGTTATTTCTAAAACATTAGCTCTTTAAATTAGAATCAGTAACCACGCACTACAAAATCTCTAATGTGTTGTACGCGAATTGTCTTTAATCATCATTCAAACATCGCTCCCACCTGTAAACAGTTAAAGCTGACCTGTCAGGAACAAGAGACTCTTGGTTTGCATATAATAAGCAATGTCACCGAGACGGCCCAAGGTCTAAACTTTACTATAAGACTACCGAGATTTGCAGCTTTTATGCTGAGATAAACAACACCTCAAACATAAAGAAGGATGAGTGGATCTCAATAATAATCATAATAAATGCCTAGTAATATTAGAAAGAAAACTGGTCAAAGTATGGAGCTTTGTGGAAATTAATATTTAAAGATGAGCCTGTTTAAAAAGTCTAACTGTGGATTCATTAAAGACTGAGCAAGGGGCTTTTAATTAGCGAGGTTTTCAGTTATTGGTTCATAACTAAAGTTCTACTAACAAAACTTAATCTGCTGTTGAAGGCTGTGAAACAGCAAAAATATTTGAGATTCAGCTTCATGTAAGCTTTCCAGCGAATGTGTCAAAAAATATTTTTGCTTCAGGCACTGGGATTTAGTTTGCTAGTGTTCAAACAGCTCTTGATTCATCAGACTGACCGCTGAGTCCTTTCTCATACTTTTTGTGTTCCTGTTGTTTTTGATTTATATGAGACACCAGCTGATGCAATATAAATGTTTTGTCCTTAGTTGAGTTGATCTATGTGTGTGTGTGTGTGTGTGTGTGTGTGTGTGTGTGTATGTGTGTGTGGGATGTTGGTGTGGTTGTGTGTGTGTGTGTGTGTGTGTGTGTGTGTGTGTGCACGTCATGCACAAACGCAACAGAACTAGTCTGTTTGTGAGTCTTTTGGTACCCACAAACATCAGGTACTTTACGCTCCTCTGGTGACAGACAGGAGGGGAGCCTGTTGTCACATTTCTTCATCATTATTTTCCCTGCCCTCCTTCATCTCTCTCCCTTGGAAGTTAAAAAAGTAATCAAAGGCTTGGCATCTGACAGCTCTGGCTCTTTGCTTCCTCCACTTTAAAAAAAAAAAATCTTTTTTTTTCTCCTCCCCTGAATCTTTTGCAAACACTAGCGCCTTCTCCACAAAAGCCCCTCATTTCAGGGGTGCTGAAAACCTCTCCAGCTTTTCTCAGTGGAGGTGTGCCTCTTTTGACATCTCTGCTAAATGGAGGATGCTTTGCCACTCATTTAACAGCTCTGCGACTTTGTTCCTCCTCTGGGAGGCACACAGCCTTTTATCTCCTCATAGCTGGCTGAGAACTTGCTCTCCTCTCTGCTCTGTCCCACCCGTCACAGCGCAGCATTAGCATGTACATGCCTCTTAGCAGACCACAGAGAAAGAGCCCTGCAGTGCTCTGGCTGGAGCACGAGGCTTAGTCCCCTGGAGGAAAAATCTTGGCCGCAGGGTGAATAACTGGAGTATGTTGGACATTAGGGCTTTGGCAATTCAAAATGCTGGATTAGGCGTGAATAGTACGGAGGCATTTACACAAGGTTTTAACAGTAGGGAAATAAAGCTGTTTCCTGTTATTTCACGATGTACAGTATGTGTTTTCATTTCCTATATCAGTTATATGCAGCCTCTGGAGAGTCAGATTACCTCAGTAATCGATGGATGGATGAATGGGTGAATGGATTTGTGCTTTAATGAATGTAAGGCCTTAGTCTAACCACTGAGATCCATGACCGGCATTAGTCGACTCCTTTTATCTGTGTTGGTTTATGGTAACTGATTTTTAAAAGTGCTGCTTTTTCTTTTGTATGTTTTTCAAGGATGACGAGCCAATGACAGCAGGGGCTGACGGCAGAGATCACACCCGTATTCGGAAGTTCCTCAGCCAGCATACCAAGAAATTACCCTGGAAACCAGAGGTAGTACAAATAATTTGCCCTCCTTTTTATTTGATGTGATTTCTCCTTTTGCACATATCACTTATTCATCTTCAATTTAAAGCCTTTCTTGCATCTCGCAGACAGAGCTATTGTGATTGTTTTGCTGTTTGTGTAATTAATCCACTCAATTTGGCAAGGCCACTTAGTGTGAATATCTTCCTCATTTTCTATCAGTTGTCCTTTCAACTGCAGTTGGTATTTGAGGTCAAACAGAGATCCAGCCAATTTCTGGTGGCATTATTGAAACATCAAACTGCAATTTATCATTATTAGGATAAATTATTGTGTCAGGATGAAAATATTTGATCCAAAATAATGATTACATTTCAAGCCATGCATGGCTGAAGTGATGTGATTTTGCTGTCTTTTGTGTGTAGTTGACACACCTGCTGTAACAACAGGAGCAGCAGACAGGCGTATTAAGCAGTGGATTATTGATAGAGAAAGCAGCTGTGGAAGTGTAATCTGTTCAGCAGGGTCTAATTATAGCTTTGTGCATGTATGTATGTGTGTCTGTAGCCTGGGACATGTGTTGAATTAGTAATTTTCCAAGTGGGGTAAAGTTTAACTACAAAGTCTTTGCTTCAAACCAGCATGATCTTCCAGCACACAGTGGACAGTTCACGTAGGTTCTCTGCCTTTTACTCTGACTTCTCGCTGCTTCCATAAAGCTTTATGCATGTAATCTTTTGTCCAAGGCAAGATTAAAGCAGTGCTGAGTGCAGTATGGGCCTAATATTGTTATAGTAACTGCATTATTTCAGCAGACTCTCCTGAGCTGGTCTCAGGTTAGCTTATCTTTGCCGTCATGACTTCTCTCAGCAACAAAACAGCCAAACACTCTCATTTGGCTTTTAAAGCAGTCATATGTGGATGATGTCTGCTTTTCTGATTTAATATGCCCTGCAAACATCTGTTGTCTGAATAGCGAGGGGCTGCATCTAAATGTGGTGATGGTTTTGGCATAATTTAAAACGGTGCTACTTAGAAAATGAGGAGTCACATTGATATGAAACAGCCAAGCTAGGACCACAGCCAAGTAGGCAGTCTGATACTGGACCATGTAGACTAATTGCACAAATCTAAATAGATTTCAAGGGTTGATCATAGCAAGAAGCTTTATTATGTTTTGTTTTTTCCTCCTGTGCCTTGTGTTTTATCATTTTGCAGATCACAGGATATGTTTTTGCATTCACAAACATGTAAGTGATTTCATTGACCAAACATATTTTCTTATTCATGGTGTGGAATGAAAAAGCAAAGCAGCCACAGAAGGAAAATAAATTTTGCAACATCCACACCCACAACATCTTACATTAGGCATGACTAGCGTCAAAGCTCCCTTTTAAACGTCGACATGGCATTTCTTTGACTGATTTCCAGCCTACTCTTAAAGCACCCTGTCATTTAGTATCAGTGAGTTTTCTGGAAATCCTGCATAATTCTATCAAATATTTCAAGAATTTCTTGGAAGTTCAACACTCAAAAATCCTTTCTTATCTCTGCTATGTCAGGCCTAAGCCAAGTTTGTCAGAAACCATGCAGCGCGGCAGCTCTTCCTCCGCTCTCTTCACTAGCTTTCTGTCCTAATTACCAACATTAACTTGTTTTCTTGGTGCACAGCCAAAATGGTAGAGGTCTGTGGGGCCACTGAGCTGGCACTGTCAAAGGCGTAGACTCATACTGGCAGAGGTAGAGTGGTGCCATATGCCTGCCGTCACAGACTGGCAGAGGTCACATGGACATTCAGAAGCAGTCCTAAACCACATGCACATAAATTCAGTTGCAAAATGGAAAAAAAAAAACAACTTAGAAAAAAAGGCACTTTCATCACTTTTAATACATTTACAACTGTGTGGCTTGCAACAGGTAAACGCTGCTGACTTGATGAGGATCTTTGGCCGAGCGTGCTTGCTCGTTCAAAGGTGACATTGGCACTTTAAATGCACTGACATGGGACATAGATAAGAAAGTAAATTGCCCCACTTTTTAGCAGTCAAGCACTAGCAAGACAAGAATGGATAAACAGTCATTTGCAGCAAAGCTGACATGTATCTAGGGAGAATTTGAGCTTCTTAAACAATTTTATTTAGTCACACGCAGAAAGAAAGTGATGGTAAGAAGGATTAATAGTCTGCTAAGCCATTGTAGATGTTGATATCAGAGGAACTTTCATGTTTTTTTACATGTCACTGATATTTTAAAAGCCACAGGGAGCAGAGATTTAACTTCGTCATATTAAAGCATTAAGCCTGGTTTCAATTCTAGTGCACTGAGGAGGACAGGTGGAGGATGACAGTCTCCAAGTTGACTGACTGACTAAAGCGTCTGGCCTTTTGGCTCTTGGTGGAGCTGAAAGTATCTTTATGTCTGTACTTTTGGTGAAACAGATTTTGACAGCCTATTATTTACCACTCGAGGGAAGTGAGGAAGATATTGTGGCACAACACAGACACATGATTCATATGGAAGCAGTCATCACAGCTGTCTCTTCGCACAGAAACACATGGAGTGACAAGACTGCAGGACAAATCAGATCTTTGTCTGCTCTTCGATCCTCATAGCTCAGTAATATGAGGTGAAGATGCAGGAGAAGACGTCTGATATTTGTCTCCCTCTCACTGTTGATTTTGTCTGTTTTTTCCTCGGTCTATTCAAAATGCCAACTGGTGAATGACTGTGATTTCTCTTATCTGCCATTTAAATGTAAGGGTTTGAGATAAGAAAAAATGCCGCTCGTTCGTCGTACCCTGTCTCATGTTCCTCAGTTTGACATATCTACTGCAGCCTATCCATCCCCCTCATGTTACATCTTTGGCATTACTGAAGATATGTAATTGTAGGACAGATGGCAGATTATACAAACCCTCATTACAGTAGTTGATGTGGCTGGGATCTAGATCATATAAACCGTGTCTTCCATTTTTTTATTTGCTCTCACTGTGTGAAATGAGTTCTCATTATCTGTGTCCATATAGTGCTTCTTCCCCTCACTGTACCTTCGTTCTTATCCCACTTTCTTTTCTTTCCTAAATTACTAATGGAAAGAGGAAGGTGAGACAGGAGAGGGAGAGACTAAATGTTCATAGAATTATAGTGCATGTTCAATTATTCCCTATTTATTCAACACTTACATATAGTACAGTGTTGTGATGTATCAACACTGAGTTTTAATGCCTTCTGTCCTGCATGTTCCATGCGAGCAAGCAAAGTGGCTTTGTATATACCCCAATCTGCCCTTGATAGGAACATCATGTCTCACTTTTCTTACCCAATAGGGATTAATAGTGTCAGTTGGTGTGAAAGCTCGTCAGTGGGTACACTGAGCAGCCATTTGTCAGTGCTTTGCTGCCAGTGGGAAGCGCAGAAGGCTGCACCAGATTTTGAGAAAGGGAGAGCCTCGCGGAGAAGAGAGATGGAAAAAAGAGAAAGTTTTATTTGTTTGCTGGGTTGATGGTTCAGCCAGATGGATGAGAGAGAGGAGATATGGTGAAAGACACGCTCGCAGAATGTATGTAGCTTTCTGGGGGAAATGTGTGGTGTGATAAGAGTAGTGTACTATACAGTATTTGATGCTTTAGATTAAATGCCCTTCTTAATCGGGTAGCTTTTCTTGTACTTTTTCTTGTTCTTTTAGTTTGCTCCCCATGTTTGACAGATGCCATAAATTACTTTGGAGAAGCATTTCCAACAAATGCAGGTCATATATGGATGTTTGGAATCATTTTTAGGGCTGGGCCACTCTAGATTATAGTTATTATTATTTGTTTGAACCACTCTGTAATACATTTACTTTAATGTTTAAAAGGGTCATTTGCTTGCTCCATCTCCTACTTAGTTTTAGCTGCCCCACTGTAAGACCCTTTGATAAACCCGATGACGGCAAGCTGTCTAGGCCCAAAGGCACCAGCACACCAACTCTTTCTCCACATCTCTATTCTCATGAGCATAACGTTACCATCTGTAGTGATTTCTCTGAGCCTTTAGCTGTTACTCTGGGATTTTTCTTCGCCTCATTGAGCATTCTACATTGTGCCTTTGGTACCATCCTAGCTGGGTGCCCACTTAAGGAGAGTAATAACAGAACAAAATTGTCTCCTTTTAATTGTCCACAATTTCTAGACAATCATCAGTGTGAAGTGATTAAATATCTTAACTCTCTGATTACTTTGTAACGCTTTCCAGCTTAATGCAGTTCTCTAACATAAGTGTTTTTGCAAAGCGCTCTTTATCATCAGCAGATACTTTTGTAAGTAAGTTGAAGTCGCTCTGTGCCACACTTCTATATCTGAATGATCTATTCATTATGGACAATTAAAGTAGATTTTGTTTGTTCATAGTTGGAACTTGATGAGGAGAAAAGAAGTTGAATATAATTGCAGATCATTGCAAAAGAGGTAATGTTGTTTTGTTTTTGTTTTTGGGGTTTTTTGTCACATATGGTGGGCCAGGTGTTTGTACAATATCTGGAATAGTTTGAGATTAAGCAGGGTGTGGATGAACAGGGAAGAAGAAATGAATTCAAACAAGAGAAACTAATGGACAAGATTATACCTACATTTACATTTAAGAGGATGACTGGGCACAGGTTGCGTTTAAACACAACTGACTGTTAAAACTTTAAGAATTACGGACGTATGCTTTCAGTGTATTACTGCTGTTTATATGCTATATGTTTTGCCATATTTTTCATATAATGTAGACAGTTGAAATATGTATCAGTTCATTGGTATAACATGATAGTAGAGGAGAGCAGATTTGTAGGTTGTTCATATTTACATGTTGCTTTCCATGTCAACATGTTGCATTTATGTTGAACTTACAGTCACGCGTAATAGGATAAAAGTAGAGAAATTTATCTTAAAATGAACCAAACGCAGCTTTGTCTTGAGAGCAGCGTATAAACACAAGTCGCTAATAATAGTTTTTTCTAAGAATATGAATATATTTTCTAGTGTAAACAGCAAGAAGGTCCTGAGTTCAATTCCACCATCAGGCCAGCGTCTTCCTGTGTGGAGTTTGCATGTTCTCCCTGTGTTTGCGTGGGTTCTCCCCGGGTACTCCGGCTTCCTCCCACAGTCCAAAGACATGCAGTTAGTGAGGATAGGTTAATTGGGAACTCTAAATTGCCCATAGTTGTGAGTGCAGGAGTGAATGTGAGCACGAATGGTTGTCTCTGTCTATGTGTTAGCTCTGTCACAGACTGACGACCTGTCCAGGGTGTACCCCGCCTCTTGCCCTAAGATAGCTGGGATAGGCTCCAGCACCCCCGCGACCCTGAAAAAGGATAAGCAGAAGTGGATGGATGGATAGATAGTGTATTTAGCAATTTAAGCAGAAGCCATACCTACTACTAAATATATGAAGTCTATAAGTCCCAACAAGTAGCCCAGCACATAGCCACTTTGGACTTACTTCTGATAAAATACAGATGCGGAAGAATGATTGTGATGGACAGAGGTAATTTAATATTTAGTTAGTTCATGTAGAAGAAACAATCCTTCCTGAGAGTGCCCATGGCTGTTTACTTGATTGCTAAAAGTGTGATTTTGGATTAAACAATAACAGCTACATAAATGGAAGTAAAACAGCAAAGTAAGAAAGAGCAGCAGTCATTCTGTCTCTTCTTTAGCCAGTTACTGAATATAAATGTTAGCTATAAAAGAAAGTTAGCTGTCATCTGAAATGACACAATCTCTACATTCCTATATTATACCCATCGTGTAAAAAGCACAAAACAAGAAAAACACAGACAGGCAGTATCATTGTCAATACACCAACAAATAATGTGAGTATGATTTTATCGCTCGCTGCAGAACGAGGAACGAGAAGAGAGGCAAAAAGAAGATGGAGTGAGACAGTGTGGTGGAGTGACAGCCAACAGCTGAGCTCAGGGAAACTAAAGAATGAGAGTCGAGACACTGACAGCATTTGGCAGAACAAAGACAGAGATAGAAGGGTGGAGAGGCAGAAATGGAGAGGTCAGAGGGAAGAAGAAACAACTTTAGGGATAGTGGGACTGAAGCCTGAGAGAGGGAGGGGAGGCTGAAGCAACACTCAGAGAAAAGTGATTGAGTTTAAGTTAGAGTCGTTGGAGAAAGACAACTTCCCTTTTCCCTGACTCCGTATCCAGCATCATGTTAAGGCCAGAGCACAG